CGGGTGAGTTTTTTAAAGTTTTTGCAAAAGGAGGATTTTCCTAATATTAAAACTTTTGCATCAAAGTACCTTTCAATTTTTTGAGCAAGATATCTGTGTGAACAAACACTTTCAAGAATGAAATACTTGAAGAATAATTTGAGAGCAAACTTGGACCTCGAGTGTGTTGTTGGCCACCGACAGTGTTTCATTCAGACTTTTTGACTTTTTGTTCTCCGGGGGGGGGGGGGGGGCAATTGAAATTTGTATATATTTCTATATAAATTATATTTCGTTAAGGGGGGATGGGGGGTGGGACGGTACACGTTTTTCGGGGGGGGGGGGGCGCTTGAAGAAACTCTGGCCCCCGAACTGATATTTGATAGTTAATTCGGCCCTTGGGCTGAAAAGTTTGGAGACCCCTGATCAGAGGCGTAGCGACCCTTCCCGGCGCCCGGGGCGAACTTTCAATTTGGCGCCCCCCCCCCCCCCCCCCCGCTTATATATATATATATATATATATATATATATATATATATATATATATATATATATATATATATATATATATATATATATATATATATATATATATATATATATATATATATATATATATATACATGTGTGTGTGTGTATAATTATGTGTGTGTGATAGTGTGTTTATATATAAGCTTGTGTGTGGGTAAGAGTGTATTTGTGTGTGTAAGCGTGTGAGTAAGCGTGTACGCTACAGTCCGGACAAGGTTTAATAATTACATTGTATGATTTTCATTCCTTAAAACTTTACGACAATTTAATTCCCATTAAGATGCGTTTAACTTTTTTTTGCGAAAGATTAGTAATGTCAGTAAAAAAAATAAGCCTGATCTGTGTTAGAGGGTAGTTTGTAGCTAACGCTAATATGTTTAGACCAGCCTTTAATGTTCTAGTTTTGGAACGATCTCTGTTGTGATATGGTACATAGTTGGATTCGAAGTTTGTTAGAGTAAGGACACACAAGTGACATACAAGAAGAAGTTATCAGAAATATTTATAGTTCACATTGGAATACGACATGGGTATTTCGTTGATTGGTTGATGGTATGACAAAACAAGCTAGAGAAAACAAACTGGAATCCAACGGATGTTAACAGCTCGTAGTCTTGGATTTCGCAGATTAGCCCTGCCTTCTCGCACACAGAGTTTCTTCCAGGCATCTCTTCGGGGGGGGGGGGGGGCGAAGCCCCCCGAAAAAAATTTTACCGCCCCCCCGAACGAAATGAAATTTATATATAGAAAATATATACGTTTAACAGTGTCCGCCCCCCCCCCCTCCCGAAGAAAGTCTACCGCCCCCCCCCCCCCCGAAAATTTCAAGTGCCCCCCCCCCCCCCCGAAGAAAAAAGTCTGGAAGAAACACTGCTCGCACAACGTCAACAACAAATGCAGAACTAATTGTATTGATTGAAGAAGCAGTAACAATCAATTTAATGATAGCCCATGACGTTCTGATTATAATCAGCAGCAATAAAACGCGTTTTAATACTCTAAGAAAATGTAGAACTCAAATGCATTGTCAAAAAAATTCAATCAGGATCTATAACTAAATGTGGTCTCTTTTACTGTATGGCTTGGAGCTAGATTACAGACAGTGGAGAATGAAATAAGAGCATGGAAAAAAGTGGTGGTTAGTGGCTTAGGGATTCAAGAATCCGTGATATTTAGTTCTCTTTAATATAGTTCAGTGATCCAGGTAAGATGTAATGCAATCAATCAAAAGTATCTGATCTCTCACGTTGAAGTTGAGAGAATCGTAAGAATCTTACAAAGAACTAGTCGCGTCTTTTTTTTTAAACAAAACTGGCTATTGAAATTGTACATTACGCGTTAATACACTTGGTTTCTTTACTAAGTGTTAAGAGAGTTATCTGCTCACCAATCCAGTACAAATACTTGCGATTTTTTTAGCGAAAAAAGCGCCCCCACCCACACACTCATCACAACCATCTTGGACAAAGTTTGTAGAGCGGTTTTTAACGTAACAAACTTTTTTTTAAAAATGTTACACAATTATACAATGCACAGTACAATTCGTTTCTTTCTGAGAGCTAAAGGTTGTTTTCTCAGAATCCTGTGTAATTTTGCTATTTTATTTAGCCTAAAAGCGCCCCCCCCCCCTGCACCATCTTGATAAAAGTCACTAACGTATTTTACAGTTCAACAATCGTACAATACGTTTCAATACAATTGGTTTCTTTTAATAGTGGTAACGTTTATCGACTCAACAATCTAGTGTAAATTCTTCCGTTTTAAGTCTCGAAAAAGCGCCCCCCCCCCCCCATCTAGGTAAAGCTTCAAAGCGGTTTTGCCGGTCACTGTTTCTTAAGAGTATATGTTTTACATTAAGAAATCAAGGTAGAAAACAGTTAAATCAGTTTGTAAAGGCGTGTAGCCATTACATTTCTTAACTTAGACAGTTTATAATTCAAAACTGCAGCATAAAATCAGCTTTAAAAATTTTTTCCCACCCCTTTTGGCGCCCCCAAAGGGTCGGCGCCCGGGGCGGCCGCCCCCCCCGCCCCCCCCTAGCTACGCCTCTGCCCCTGATTTAACGAATGAAACTTATAGCAACCCCGTCACATTCCGGCAAGCCATAGCTCCAACCCCGTCACATTCCGGCTAATTTGAAGCCGGTCCCGTCAACCGGGCCACTTCCAGCCGGCGGGTAACAACATAAGACCGTGATTCGATCGGTCGTCTGCTCGAGCTGAGCTCAAACTACGAGGGCGCGAGTTATTTCACGACTCGTTAGTCTTGCTGTGAGCAGCGCACGTGAGCTCGACACGTGCATGAGAATCTTGTTGGACAAATGGCGTCAAGCTACTCTGCCGGCTTTTTGTGCCCGGTGACAAGGTACCGGGGACCAGAAGTACATTAGCCGGAAAGAGTCGTTTAACCGGATTGAGCTCCGGCCAATTTTTGCAGGCGAGTTTGACAAGACGGCGTTTAAAGTCGTCTGCTTCTTCCTGCTGTTGGCACGTGGTGTTTGGTTCAGCTGGTTCCTGGTTTAACTGGTTAGCTGGTTCGTGGTTTAACTGGTTAGCTGGGTGATGGTTCAGCTGGTTAGCTGGTTCATGGTTTAACTGTGTTGTTTTTTCCAATATTCAGCGTTTTGTTTTAATACACAAAATTATAATCTTAGTACCTAACTGACCAGACAACGACCAACTGACCAGTCCCAGACAACGACTAACTGACCAGTCACCGACCAACTGACCAGTCTACGGCCAACTGACAAGTCACCTCTTGTCAACTGACCAGTCACCGACCAACTGACCAGTCACCGACCAACTGACCAGTCACCGACCAACTGACCAGTCACCGACCAACTGACCAGCCAACGACCAACTGACCAGTCAACGACCAACTGACCAGTCACCGACCAACTGACCAGTCACCGACCAACTGACCAGTCAACGACCAACTGACCAATCACCGACCAACTGACCAGTCACCGACCAACTGACCAATCACCGACCAACTGACTAGTCACCGACCAACTGACCAATCACCGACCAACTGACCAATCACCGACCAACTGACCAATCACCGACCAACTGACCAATCACCGACCAACTGACCAGTCACCGACCAACTGACCAGCCAACGACCAACTGACCAGTCACCTCTTGTCAACTGACCAGCCAACGTCCAACTGACCAGTCACCTGTTGTCAACTGACCAGCCAACGACCAACTGACCAGTCACCGACCAACTGACCAGTCACCGACCAACTGACAAGTCAACGACCAACTGACCAGTCACCGACCAACTGACCAGTCACCGACCAACTGACCAATCACCGACCAACTGACTAGTCACCAACCAACTGACCAGTCACCGACCAACTGACTAGTCACCTCTTGTCAACTGACCAGCCAACGTCCAACTGACCAGTCACCTGTTGTCAACTGACCAGCCAACGACCAACTGACCAGTCAACGACCAACTGACCAGTCACCGACCAACTGACCAGTCACCGACCAACTGACCAGTCACCGACCAACTGACCAGCCAACGACCAACTGACCAGTCAACGACCAACTGACCAGTCACCGACCAACTGACCAGTCACCGACCAACTGACCAGTCACCGACCAACTGACCAGTCACCGACCAACTGACCAGTCAACGACCAACTGACCAATCACCGACCAACTGACCAGTCACCGACCAACTGACCAATCACCGACCAACTGACTAGTCACCGACCAACTGACCAATCACCGACCAACTGACCAATCACCGACCAACTGACCAATCACCGACCAACTGACCAATCACCGACCAACTGACCAGTCACCGACCAACTGACCAGCCAACGACCAACTGACCAGTCACCTCTTGTCAACTGACCAGCCAAAGTCCAACTGACCAGTCACCTGTTGTCAACTGACCAGCCAACGACCAACTGACCAGTCACCGACCAACTGACCAGTCACCGACCAACTGACCAGTCAACGACCAACTGACCAGTCACCGACCAACTGACCAGTCACCGACCAACTGACCAATCACCGACCAACTGACTAGTCACCAACCAACTGACCAGTCACCGACCAACTGACTAGTCACCTCTTGTCAACTGACCAGCCAACGTCCAACTGACCAGTCACCTGTTGTCAACTGACCAGCCAACGACCAACTGACCAGTCAACGACCAACTGACCAGTCACCGACCAACTGACCAGTCACCGACCAACTGACCAGTCACCGACCAACTGACCAGCCAACGACCAACTGACCAGTCAACGACCAACTGACCAGTCACCGACCAACTGACCAGTCACCGACCAACTGACCAGTCACCGACCAACTGACCAGTCACCGACCAACTGACCAGCCAACGACCAACTGACCAGCCAACGTCCAACTGACCAGTCACCGACCAACTGACCAGTCTACGACCAACTGACCAGTCACCGACCAACTGACCAGTCACCAACCAACTGACCAGTCACCTTTTGTCACCTCCCCAGTGGTGAGTCACCAGTCCGACACGGTCAAGCCTGTCCACGTCAGTGTTGCCAGCAAGAACGTCACAGTGGTCACCGGAAGTACAGCCGTGCTGCCGTGCTCTGTGGATTTCCTCGGTCACTACAAGGTCAGTATTTGGGTGGTCAGTATTGTTCTACTTCTAGTTTTTGGAAGGTCAGTATTGTTCTACTTCTAGAATTTGGGTGGTCAGTATTGTTCTACTTCTAGTTTTTAGGTGGTCAGTATTGTTCTACTTCTAGTTTTTGGGTGGTCAGTATTGTTCTACTTCTAGTATTAGGCAGGTCAGTATTGCTCTACTTCCAATATTTGGGAGGTCAGTATTGTTCTACTTCCAATATTTGTGTGGTCAGTATTGTTCTACTTCTAGTTTTTGGGTGGTCAGTATTGTTCTACTTCCAATATTTGGGAGGTCAGTATTGCTCTACTTCTAGTATTTGGGAAGTCAGTATTGTTCTACTTCTAGTTTTTAGGTGGTCAGTATTGTTCTACTTCTAGTATTTGTGTGGTCAGTATTGTTCTACTTCTAGTATTTGTGTGGTCAGTATTGTTCTACTTCTAGTATTTGGGAGGTCAGTATTGTTCTACTTCTAGTATTAGGCAGGTCAGTATTGTTCTACTTCTAGAATTTGGGTGGTCAGTATTGTTCTACTTCTAGTTTTTAGGTGGTCAGTATTGTTCTACTTCTAGAATTTGGGAGGTCAGTTTTGTTCTACTTCTAGTTTTTGGAAGGTCAGTATTGTTCTACTTCTAGTATTTGTGTGGTCAGTATTGTTCTACATCTAGTATTAGGCAGGTCAGTATTGTTCTACTTCTAGAATTTGGGAGGTCAGTATTGTTCTACTTCTAGAATTTGGGAGGTCAGTATTGTTCTACTTCTAGTTTTTGGAAGGTCAGTATTGTTCTACTTCTAGTATTTGTGTGGTCAGTATTGTTCTACTTCTAGTATTAGGCAGGTCAGTATTGTTCTACTTCTAGAATTTGGGAGGTCAGTATTGCTCTACTTCTAGTATTTGGGAGGTCAGTATTGTTCTACTTCTAGTTTTTGGGTGGTCAGTATTGTTCTACTTCTAGTATTTGTGTGGTCAGTATTGTTCTACTTCTAGTATTTGGGAGGTCTGTATTGTTCTACTTCTAGTATTAGGCAGGTCAGTATTGTTCTACTTCTAGTATTTGTGTGGTCAGTATTGTTCTACTTCTAGTTTTTGGGTGGTCAGTATTGTTCTACTTCTAGTTTTTGGAAGGTCAGTATTGTTCTACCTTTCATTTTTGGGACGTCAGTATTGTTCTACTTCTAGTATGTGGGAGGTCAGTATTGTTCTACTTCTAGTATTAGGCAGGTCAGTATTGTTCTACTTCTAGAATTTGGGTGGTAAGTATTGTTCTACTTCTAGTTTTTGTGTGGTCAGTATTGTTCTACTTCTAATGTTTGGGTGATCAGTATTGTTCTACTTCCGATATTTGGGTGGTCAGTATTGTTCTACTTCCAATATTTGTGTGGTTAGTATTGTTCTACTTCTTAGTTTCTGCGGACAAAATTGTTTTACTTGTATTGTCGCAATATTGCTCTAGATTCAAATGTCGATTGATCAATATAGTTTTGTTTCGTGATGTTTTTGTTCTGGTTTTATGTTTTTGAAGCCGAATATTTTTCTACATATATAGTTTAGTACTTTAGTAGAACAAATTACGATACCCAAGTTAAAGAATTTAATTTCAGTATACCTGCGGAAGTCATCACAATTATCGGTTTTCAGTTTTAGCTTTATTTATAAGAACCCTCCGCCCCCCCCCCCCCCCTCCAACTATTTTCTTGGTTGTGAGGTATTTGAAAATAGCCCGACCCCCTCTCCCATCTTCCCATGTGACGCCTCATCGGCGACCGTGTGACGTCAGATATGAACGACCCGTTATGTCCAAGATTCGACAACGAACAAAACCGTTAAGTTGAACCAGTGCGAGTTGTTGTACGGAACGAAATTGAAACTGGAGCATTGTGTCAACACTCTGACATTAGTTTGAAGCCTGGGTCTATGTTTTAATACCGTCCTCGGCTGGTTAAACCATAATTTGATCTATATGGGAGGTAACGCACTGTCTCTACTCTAGAGATGAATAGCCGCCCTTGTTTAATGGATTTGATCATCAAATTTCAAGTTTTCACCATAGGATCACCGCGGTTTGTTTCCATCTCAGTTCACTCAATATCTGTCTAGACACGTGATAGATGCTATTTTTAGCTCACTCGGAGATATTGGTGAGTAGAGTTTCCTGAAGAAACTCACATGAGCCAGTTTTTAGGGATTGTACGCATGCTTCATACATAATAGTTTCAAACTGAATTGTTGTGTAGAGTGGTCCTGTATTGCTTGATGTACTGGTCTGTCAGGTAGCCTTATCTTTCCAAAGTCTGTTTCTATTGAACATGATCTTCCAGCTCTAATTATGAATGAGTTCCCGCATTTAGCCTGAAAAATACGTATTTTCTGGGGTTTTTTTTTTTTAGACAGAGAAGTCTCTGGTTAGTTTAAGCAATATTTGACTGTTATCTAAAAGATTTTGAAAATTAGCAGTCTTCTTAAAGAAAGTTTTCTATAAATATTTTATTATTAAAAATCGCAAAAAAAAATTTGTAAAAATGGCCGAATTTTCAAAATTTGGCTATCAAATACTTTTCTGGCAATCCAGATTTTCCCCAACGTAACCAGCATCCAATTTGTACTTGTGGCCAAAAGCATGAAGATCAGACGTTTAAATCTTCCAGCAAGAGTTTCTAGGTTGTTGGTTGCCTGACAACCTAAGAAAATGATTCCAGGCATCCTGGAGACTTAAGCTGTGCCGAGTTCATCAGAAAAATCCAGGCCAGCTCCGTTCATCACGGCACTAAATGAGACTGAGGCTGGAGAATCGGATACTCAATATATCTAACGATTCGATACTGAACATGAGATAATCTCGATTACCGGCCTGGCCTAGTAAATTAATTCTCCAGCAACTAGTAGATCAGTGTTCGATCACCTCACGTGACCGGGTCATGTGACTTGGGGAAGTTATTATTTGAGGACGTCTCGGCCAATCAACGTCAGCAAACACAAGGCTTTCCTGCAGGTCACGTGATCACATCTTGGCGCCTTTAGCCAGACGAGATCTGGACCTAATTCTCTCCACAGTCCCTGGGGGGAGCGGCTTTTTAAATCATTAATGCTAGGGCGTCTGCTGATGCTACAGGTCCTAAAGACGCCGCCCAATATGCATGCAACTACAGCACACACTGCAACATACATACAACTTTAGCACAGACGGCAACATACATACAACTTTAGCACAGACGGCAACATACATACAACTTTAGCACAGACGGCAACATACATACAACTTTAGCACAGACGGCAACATACATGTAACTTTAACATGCGTCCAACTTTAGCATAGGCATCAACATGCATCGAACTTTAGCAAAGACATCAATATACATCCAACTTTATAATATGAATCCAACTTGCATCAATATACATGGTCTGTGAGTTTGTCTGTCTGTGTTTTATAATGTCTGTGTTTTATAATGTCTGTGTTTTATAATGTCTGTGTTTTAAAATGTCTGCGTTTTATAACGACTAAATCTAAACATTTACATCCATTACCGTGACGCTTTCTAAAAATGATTTTTACCCCCCACTTATCTTCGTCACACTTGGTTACAAAAATCCAGACTTCCTTAATTGACGTCATAACTGCTTACTCCCTCCTCCATGCTCCCTCAAGATTGCAATTGTTTTTAAAAAGGATTTTTTTCTCTAAAAAGTGTACTGAGCACGGTCAACATTTAGAATATGGAACAATTTGTATCGCCATTTACAGAAAATATGGAACAATTTGTATCGCCATTTACAGAAAATATGGAACAATTTGTATCGCCATTTACAGAAAATACCTTTACAAATCGAGAAATAATGGCTAAAATTCAGTTTCTAACATCACATGAAACATTGCGCCATCACACCTCTTTCCATGTCACAAATCATCACAAATATCCAAAAACCAACCCCACCCCTCGGAGAGTTTTATGGACGACCCCTTACATCATTCCACTATGGTCTAGATGGCATCATCCAAAATGTTTTTACTTTTAAATGTTCATAATTTTTAAAAATAAAAAAGCAAACACTTTGACAATGAAAGATTTTAAATATAACGTAATGCCCCCACCCCCACACACACAACGGTTTTTAGATATATAACTTTCTAGCTAAATATAAAGCGGTGTGGCGTATTGATCCCAAAGATTGTTTTCTGTGTGGGTTAGATATAAAAGCTCTAAGCTAAATGAGGCGAGAGTGATGTGATCAAAGAGACAGTTTTATGGCTGCCAACCCATGCATGACAACCATGTTAGCTTATTGCTGTATGACAACCATCTTAGCTTATTGCTGTATGACAATCTTCATGCTAGCTTATTACAGTACAGGAGAAAGGTGGTGTTATGAAATGAAATAAGAACTTATCTTTGTTTTTTTATTTTTTGTTCTCTGTCCAGTTTGATTAAACCTACTATCCACATTCAATCGGGCTTATAAATAATGCCACTCCCATTTGCCCATCCTAGCCCTGATACATATGCAACATTAGACGCTTTTCGAGTCACTGCAAGGGTTGGTGCCTTGATTTCAAGGGCCCAATCTTCCAACCCTCTATCAGACAACTCAGTCATTTGTTTGATCCATCAAATATTTTATTTTTCCGTCTCCATAATTCAACTACCTGTCAATCTTTATAATTCAATGTTATTTTAATCTGTATAGTATAGTGCAATCTTTTCAGCATCTATATAATTTACCACGTTCTCCGACTCTATGATTCTCTCAGCTCCTAAATCAGCTGAACTGAAACTGATCTTCTAGCTACATGCTTATAAAGCAAATCAACAGCCTACCTCCAATCAATCATTTATTCATTAATGCGTCATTACTGACACGGTCATTAAAAACGAATCAAACCACGTTAACTGGTCTATCTTAGACCACAGAGAGAGGAAAAAATTGCCTCTTCAGATAAGCGAGGGTCAATTTGAGACGTGAATTTTCTGGATTTCATGTCTAGATATTTCTGCTT